ATTTTAGTTGCTCACGCACTTTGTGACTATGGTTCACTCTCAGTGCACACGCGCGGACACACACACACACACACACACCCTCCCAGGTGCTAGCTGCATCTTCAAATTTTGACCCCTCTCAAGTGTCTGCTTTTATTTACCCTTCAGAATCCTTAGGTAGTTGTTTTCTTATTACTTTGTCCAGAACTTAGTTATCAGGATAAGAGAGAGTTTGTAGAAATAATAAAAAACTATTTTTGTTTAAAACATAAAAATGTATTGCCTGTGCAAAAAATTAAATTAATAATTTAAAACAATATCTGGCAATGGTCAGCTTCTTAAACTGGGTAGTGTTTACATGCACATGTGTTTTATAATTCATGTTTTATACCTTTTTCTGTATGTATAATACATTTCCCAATTTTCTGAAAATGAGGTACCTCAGCCGTTCATAACCCAAACTTTAGCTCCTCAATTAACATTTGCCCTGTGGATAATAATGTTATGAAAATAACACATTTACAGTATTTCAATATCTGAATTGAAAATTTAATAAGAAGATAATCCTTTGAACTGTAAAAGTGAGCATATTTAAAACAAAATCTCACATGGGCAAGGGTAACTCAGTGAAGTCCATTTTAAAGTGGGTTCAAGCCAGCAAACAATCCCCTGCAGTATTATCAAGTAGCAGAGCTCATGCCTTTGGACTGAGATCTTGGTTCAAATCCTGACTCTACCTCTTACTAGATGTATAACCTGGGATATGTTACTTCAGGTCACTGAATTTGTTTCCTCCTTGTAAAATGGAGAAAATAATAGTACCTACCTCTCAGGATATTGGGTGGGTTAATTAGGTAATGATTGTAAAGCATTCAGCACACAGCGCTAAATACCTATAAAATGTTCAAAGTTAGCTATTATAGTAGCAATAGTAATATTTTCTTCTGAATCTCAAAGGATTTCTATGACCTTTTTCATCAATTACTAATATTTATTTGATGTATGTCCACAAAAACAAATTGAGATCATGTGCCTTCACTTCCAGGAATGAACCTTCTACAGTTTAAAATTCAGCATAGCACTGAGGACAAGATTTAGTTGAATGCACCCTCTAGTGGTATAGGTACGTGCAACTACCTGACTTCTGAGAAGAAAATCCCTTTATGAAATATCACTAGGTTAGTGCTTAGAACCTGAAACCAGCTGGTTGCGAACATTAGGGTATGAGCAGCTCTATCTAACATCTTTTAGAAAGATCCCTCTCTTCCAGAGCTGGAGGATTTGTCTTTTTAAAAAGTTCCCTACCATAAGACGTAGAATATGTGTGACATATGCCATACCAAATCCCAATATTTCTACAGTATTGACTTTAATCTTTCCTCTGAAAGAAAATTGGATCACTTTCTAGTTTGCTTTAACAAACACTGCAAAGTACCTATTCTTCATTTAGTGAATAAAAATGAACTGAGTACCAACTAACTATATACCAGCCAATGGGGATACAATAATCAATTTATTACAGAAGTCCCTGTCATTACAAACTCAAAAACTGCTGTAAGGAAGTATGGACTGCCATGAATGTAAAATGGGAGATTGACCTAGATTGCGGGGGAGGGGCATTGGAAGCCTTACTAGAGAATAAAATGTTAAAAGCCTTGAAGGGTGAGTAGAAATTAACTGAAAGAAAAGGAGGAATATCATACAAAGAGAACAGCATATATAGAGACCTGGCGATGGCAAGGTACATGTGGAATTTGAGAAAGTGAGGGAAGGTTCCTATGCATGGAGCTCAAAGAAGGGGGAGGTTCTGCTAGTGAAGTGAGCAGGGACTTAATACATGTTAGGGAGTTTGAACTTCATCCTAAAAACAATGGGAAACTATGGATGGTATTAAAGCAGAAGAGCAACCGTCTGATTTGTTTTCAAAAGTTCACTTGACTAAGGCATGGCCAAAGGATTTGGAGTGGACCAACATCAAATGACCGGACCAGCTGCTAGTAATCTAGGTAAGACGTGATAAAACCTAGGTCAAGGGAGGTAGCAGTAGAGACCAAGAAGCATATGGATATTTAAATGGTAAAATGGATCCAGCATGATAATGGGAATGGGAATAGCAGTCATGGTGACGTGAGTAGATGCTGATAATGCCATTCCCCCCAACGGGTGGTGGTAGCTAAGTTTGGGAAGGGTTGTTGAGATAAATTGTTTCGGACACCAGGATTTTTCTAACAAGAGTTCGTCTTTGGTTACAAAGTGTAATATTTCAATAGAATGCTTAACTACTATTGGGCAGGACCATGAGACACCGCCCTCCACCCAATAGGTCCCCAGTGTTTTGTTTTTTTATTCACTCCCACTGCGCTAACACTCTGACCACACATCTGCCAGAAGAGCCAATATTCCCTCCCGCAGCCAATTTCACCCGATTTTTGTTTTGCGATGTCCAGTTCAAAGGTCACCTTCTAATGGAAGGCTTTCCGGCGTCTACCACCCCCCCGCCCCTCCCGTCCCTCTGAGCCGTTAAACTGAGTTCCCCACAGCGCGGAGTAAGCAAGCCTCAGCTTGGCGTCCAGCGCAGCGCCCTTCGCCTTAGGCGCTCTACAAACATTAATTGGCCACATTTACCCCAGGGAGGTCCCTCTACTACGCAAGTACACATCGCGCCTGCCCTGGTTCTGGCCGCCGGAAATGACGCGCTCTTAAGGACGACATATTTCCGGTCCCGAAAGCCGGCGCCGCAAGCCGGGGGAGGGGGGGGGCGGGCTCCTCTGCTGCTTTGGAGGATTCACGCGTGGTAAGAAGCTACGCGCCGTGGAGCGGGACGGGGCCCCGGGGACCCCAGATGCCGTAGAGTGCCCTCCTTTTCCTGGGACCTGGCGGGAGGGCAGAGGAACTGGCTGCGAAGTCCCTAAGAGCCACTAGCGCCAGGTGCGGCTGGAGTGCCGGGCTACGCGGCCGGCCGGGGACTCCGGCGCAGGGACCGGCCTCAGCTGTAGGGCGCAGGCCTGTCGCGTTCAGTCCCACTTAGGCTCCCCGTGCAAGTGGACCTGGCCTATCCGGACTTGATATCCAGAGCTTCCCACTTCCCACGTGCCCGGGGAGGGATCATCCACTTCCTCTTCCAACAACAGCTCCAGTCCCCACTGGGACCGTCGCAGGATCTGCAGTGAGCAGTGTCCGCGTGATTAGTGGTGTAAAGGGGTGTGCACCGTCTCACACGTATTCATTGGCTCCGCCCCTCAGCTTGTGTTGAAGAGATGTTTCCGACGGCACGATCTGAGGTTTTAACATTGGTTGGTGCACGGGATCCTGCCTTGCAAGGGATACGGCTTAATTGAAGATGATTTGAAACGACTTGGGCTGGAAAGTAGCTTATCCTCTGATTAGTAAGAGAGGAAAACCCAGTATCATCACACGACTGTAAACACTTTTATATATTTTACTTATCAGTCTGCCGGAAAGAGTTGTAATGACAAACTTCACTGTCAAAGGACAGGATTTCTGTGTACAATTTGCTGTGCATGCAAATTGTTTGCGTTGCAAGGGAAGACTAAGCAAGACTATTGGGAGAAAGTAGCTCTGGGACTTAGAGATAGAAAAATAAACGGCTAGGGAAACCACAGAGTTTGGGAAGGATAATTTGATTTACTGTGTTACTATATGATTTAAATTTGGTGAAATAATTTGGTTTCTTGTTTCCCAGTATTAAGCAAATACGTGTGTGTGTGTGTGTGTGTGTGTGTGTGTGTGT